CTCTCTCTCTCTCTCTCTCTCTCTCTCTCTCTCTCTCTCTCTCTCTCTCTCGTTCCCCTTCGCAAAGCAAACAGTGTGGCCATTTCCATAAGAGCATCTTCGCTACACATTCATGAACCTTCCTTCTCACCCAAGCCTTGACACAGACGGTCACAAGCCTGAAGCGGCCGGCTATAGCCCGCTTCGCTCTCAGCTACATAATGTCTACACTACATGCATCTGTCTGCACATCTGTTTACAAATATCTTCCTACCTGTGTCTGTCTATCTGTTTGCAATCTATACGTATGTTTGTTTTGTTTTGGCACGCTGTGCGATAATGATAGAGAATTCGATTGATGATGAAGTAATAAAAATATTTGAAAATTAGGATGAGCACTCTCTAGATTAGATATTATTTAAACAAAACTAATAAAAACGTATTTATTGAATTTCTTTGATAACTTCCGTCTGCAGGCTGTATTGCTGTCTTGCCTGTCTGCCTATCTGTTACCTCTGTCTTTCTGACTTTTAATTGTTTGTCTGAGCGGGTTTTGAAATTATTTTAGGGATGACCATCACTGTGTGCGAATGCCCAGCACCAATGCCAGTAAGACGATTGAGAAACAGCCCTCGAACTAAAAGAAGTTTGTGGATGGTTGGCGGGTGCTTTGGTGTGGTTTGCTCCGTCTTTCCTATCAAACACCTGTCGTCCTTACCTCTCCTCCTTTTTTGTGTAACTCTTGTAACACATCTATTCGTTGGCACTTATATGACCCTGTTGTGTTGCAAGTGCCGTAAAACTCTAACTGAAACAAAATTAAGTTTTCCCTACGTTTTGCTCTCTCATTTGATTATTTCCGTCATTGTGAAGGAATAAGTGTGTTTTCTGAGCGCGCGCGCGTAAGTCTGATGAGTTTCTTAATTAAAAGCGACGACCGTTAGATCAACTTGACCTCGAAATACCAATCAAATGAGAGTTTATTCCTAGATAGCTTCCACAAAGAAGGAAAAGAACGATTCTGAGTTTTATTTTGAAACATGTTAACTAACATTACTAAGTGTTAAAACTTGCATTTTTGTTTTGGCCAGTCTGACTTCCACAAAAGTGAGGGGTGAGTTTCTCTGATTGCGGTGACTTATACAGGCAAAACATACAACATGATAATATTTAATCAAGAAACTGCAACGTAATTTTAACAGGCAGAACCTTATTGCAACAAAATCTGATTCGTCATCAAATCTTTTTTAAGTCGTTGCTAAGATACGGTCTAGAGTAAACAACAGCTGTATGGCCTTATTTCGACAATCTGAAGCTGTTTTTGTCCCCGGAGGGAGGACACTTCTGAGACCCTGTGTAAAGAATAGAGGCCTCTTCTTCCCTTTCACGTGCTCAAAAAATTTGTGAGGAAGTTTTTGTTCACCGATAGAGGGTGCGTGGGATTTGTTCAGTTTTCTCTCGCCGACTTTTAGTTATCCAAGTTCCCGACCGACTGCGCCATAGCTGTAGGCGAAAATGTTTACAGATAGTCTAACCTGGCATGTCATCACTCTGTCTGGATTGTCACTGTCCTTTACATTATCATACAACGATCTCTCTCTCTCTCTCTCTCTCTCTCTCTCT